TTTTTTTCCCCCCCCCCCCCCTATTCTATTACTTTATTTGTGATATTTAGCAAGAACACTCAAAAAAGAGCCTTCAAAATTTAAAATTTCATAGTATAAACATTTCTCTTATTCTCAAATCTTTTAGTTTTCTTCTTTCAAAATAAAAAAACTTGGGTTTTGATATTTAGATTGAGATCAAAATTAATTTATAATTTATTTTTTATTATAACATGAAAATTTGTGTTATTCTACGATTGTTAAATACAATTTAAATCTCTTTAGTAATAAATTATGATGAATATTTCGCAAGCATTATATTTATGATTTTAAGTTTTGAGATCTTGTAGTTTATCTACTTTTGCATTTACTTATGGGGTATAATTTATCTATTGAAGATTTTTTTTCCTTATTCTGATCGGTAGAGTTCCCTTATTAAAGATTTTATTTTACTTGTGCAAATTTATTTTTAGCATACAAAAAAATGTAGTTCCCTAGTGAAAATATTGATTGTACTTGTATTATTAATAATAAAAGTGTGATTCCTTCTTTAAAATGTTAATTATATTTGCTTCTTAATGTCTGAAATGTAATTTTCATACGACAATAATAACATATATACCCAATGAAATTCCATAAGTAGGGTCTGAAAATTGATGTAATTTTTATATTTGCATATAAAGTGCTTGTTAAATTGCCCAAATAAACTAAAAAAATGAACCGGACAAACGTTCCAAACAAATTATATATTAGTAGTTATTATAAGGTGTACATTAAAGGAAATTTTGGCACCCGCCACCTTTAAATTCTAGATCTGCCTCTGCCAACAAAGCACTAAACCTATTATTTTAATAGGTCAAAGCACTAAAACTACTTCAAAATGTTCTATTCGGCTTTGGTTTTTCCAGGGAAGGCTCCTCATGGAAATGAATTACATGTTAGCTTATGGCTCTGCTGAGGCTTCATTAAGATTGTTGTGGAAATTTGGTCTTCTAGAAATACTTTTGCCAATTCAGGTTAATATATTCTGAATCTCTTCTGAATCTCTGTTGCACCTTATGGTTAACTTAATTACATTTCTGATATAGCTTAATTTGCAGGCAGCATATTTCGTTTACTATGGCTTTAGAAGACGCGATAAGAGGTCTAACATGCTTTTGGTAATTGTTTTGTATAAATCTTGCTCTGGATGCTAGGTGTTTCATTTCTTCTTTTTGGGTCCACCATAGACTCCTGACCTCAATAAGGTACTTGGGGGTGAAAATTTCCCCCCTCAAAAAGTAGTACATATTGGCCTTGAGGTGATGGTAAAAAGGGGGGTTATAAGTTATTATGCTTAGTCATAGCTGCATTATTGGCTAAAAAGTGATTAACGCCTTGACGTGGTGGATTTTGGACCATAAGTTCATTCAATGAAAATCTGATGATCACGGACTCAAATTCTCCTAAAGAAGCCAATAAGAGAGAAGAAAACAAGAAACTTCAGTTTTTGTCGGTTTGCAATTAACTTGGTGTTGATCTAATGGAGAATCATAAAGTCGTGGATCTCATACTGGGGCCATTTTCATTAGAATCAATGCTCTTGTAAATGCAAATAATGGATTTGAGAATAGCACTGGCTGAAGAAGCAATAATTTTTAAATTTAGCAAAGAGTTGGTCATGATTGTCTTAATGTGCCATAAAGATTACATCGTTATGTGTGATTATTAAGTACTTTTTAAGACAACAATACCAAATCTCGTGCATGTGCATTTTTAGAATATACATGTGGTCCTGCTTATGTTTATTTTTTTCTTTTGCATTAGATGGCCTATACTACAATGAAGATAAATCATGGTTTCTCTAGCATCCTATTTGTGCAAATCATCAATTACCAACATCCAAATGTGGATTTTATTCTGATTCCCTATCTTTTTGTTGATGGACCGTTTTAATACCATGAATATAATTGTCACATATCTCCTTTAGTTGCAAAACGCAAGTTTTGACATGCTAAAATTTTGCGTATCTCATTTCTTGAATCCATTTTATGCTGATTTTGGTTTGATGAGTAAGAAGTCAAAGCTATAATGATTAACCTGTTTCTGCTTCCTTTGCAGTCTCTGTTTTCCAACCTCGATAAATTACTGGCCCCTGATAGGCCATGCCACAGTAGCTTATGGTAAGATTCTTTGCACAGGCTTCAGCAAGTAAGATGGTTTGTAAGCGTTCTATGTATCAATTTCATTTTCAGTTTATGGGATATTCACTGGATTGTGTACTATTTTTCCTATTTCTGCATGGTAATTCTCTTGTGTCTGGCACCAGGACTTTTCCTCTAAAAAGTTGGTTAAAGGACTGTTAAAGGTACTAGATTGAAAAGGAAAATTGAAGAACAAAATTCTCATATATGTATATAAAGGACCATTGAAAATACTAGGTAGAAATGGAAACCTAAAGGACAAATCAAATATGTTTGTGTGTGATCTTTGACTTCATAAAAAAATCTATGTACCCCTAGAAAAAATAATTTTGACAGAGAAGTTGCTGCTCTAACTTTTTAATATCTAGAATGTCTTGCACGATTCTCCCAGTCAGGTTGACTGGGCTTGTTTACTGGTCCAAATGTGCCAATGTTCCATATATGATAGAATTGCAAACCCTCGGGTTCCCCAGTGTAACTCTTTCAACGGATTTCTCAGTCAGATAAATGCAAGCGAACAATACTTTTGGCAAGTAATTGAAAACATGCAAGTGCAGAATTTTTCGTAATATGTTTTAATCATGTTAGTATGTTTACTGCTAAGACCTATGCTTTCTAAGAGTCTTTTAGCCTTATTAGAGATTCTTATGCCCTTAGCAAATATGAGAACTTTTAGTGCTTTTTACTTCTAATTATTTTGTTTTGTATGATGTTTGCCCGAGATGAATTTAAATGGAGAAACATGGTCAATGAGGATTTATATAGGCGAGACCAACTTGTTTGGGACTAAGGTGTAGATGTTGTCATTGTTGTTGTAATTGAAAACATGCAAGTGAACAATCTTACTGAGAAATCTGGCACATTTGTTGGCCTCATAGTGACGGATTCTATTGTTTGTTTGGAGCTAACTCATCTTGCTTTACATACCTAAAATTTTCAAGTGATTGGAGCTGCACAATCTGCACTTTTTCTTTGAGCAGTAATTGCACCTGAAATCTGCCTAGTTATGTGCATATATTCTGTCATTTGTGATTCCTAGTCAAAGAACTAATAATTTTAAAAGAATGTGAGTGTGAAGGTGTATGTTAACATGCCAATTTTTTTTTTTTTTTTCTGAAAAGGTAACAATTATATTCTTCAGCACCCAAAAAACGGGGCTGGTATCTAATATTTACATGTACAACCCTTGAAAATCTTACAGAGAATTAAAAAGGTCTAGTAGTGATTCTACATCACCTATCAACTGTTCTTTACACCAAAAATGAAAAAGATAAATACAAGAACTCTTGATTTTCTCTGTTGAACTGCTCTTGCCTTCAAAACATCTTGCATTCCTCTCCTTCCAAACTGTCCACCATATGCAAGCTGGAACAATCTTCCACCATTCCTTGTGACAGGTTCTTCCCCTAATACTGTTCCAGCTGCATATCAGGCCAATGGTGTCTTTGGGCATTACCCAAACAATACCAGCTAGTGCTATAAAGAGCTGCCAAAGTTGTCTAGTAATAACACAATGTAAGAAAAGATGCTCATTGGTTTCATCTTCCTGTTGACATAGAAAGCATGTAGAGCTGGTCTGAATACCTCTTCTTTGAAGAATTTCTAGAGTGAGGCAGGCTTTTCTTATCACTAACCATGAAAAGCAAATAACTTTGAATGGTGCTTTGATCTTCCAAATCTTTTTCCAAGGCCAAGGATAGTTGGGGTGTCCTCCGGATGATAGATAGTTGTATGCAACCTTGACTGTAAATTTAGAGCCCTTCCCTCCTTTCCATGTAAGAGAATCCTCCGCCCCACTTAATCCTGCAAAACCTTCTAGCACTTTGAGAATCTCAGTAGCTCTAGTGACTTCCCAGTCATTGAGAAGCCTTCTGAAAATTAGGTTCCAGCCCTGGGAGTTCCAAGTTTCTTCTACTGTGGCATTCGGCGTAGTGGTGAGATTGAACAGATCACGAAAAAGATCTTTTAATGCTCCATGACCAATCCAATCATCATGCCAAAATGATATCATCCTCCCATTTCCTATCCTAAAGCTTGTGTTTGTTGTAAATTCCTCCCATAGATTTCTGATGGCTTTCCAATTGCCAACTCCATAAGGAGTTCTCACTGGTTTGGTGCTCCAGTGTCCTGATTGCTCGTACCTGCAGTTGAGAACTTGTCTCCATAAGGCTTGCTTCTCAGTGTTGAATCTCCATAACCATTTCATTAAGAGACTCTTGTTATGCAAACTTAAGTTTCTGATGCCTAGACCGCCAACTCTCTTGCTAGAGATGAGAGTGTTCCAGTTAACAAGATGGGAGCCTTTGGACTCCCTGTTGCCTTCCCAAATAAAGTTCCTTCTCAGTTGGTCAATTCTTCTCCTTACTTTGGCTGGGATAGGAAATAAGGACATGATGTAGGTGGGTAGGGAGTCCAGGATAGAGCTCACTAAAATGATCCTTCCCCCTAGGGATAAGTATTGTGCTTTCCACCTTGTAAGTCTCTTTTCACATTTATCTAGTACCCCTTCCCATATATCAGCAGCTTTGTTCTTGGAACCCAAAGATAGTCCCAAGTACTTAGTTGGTAAATTTCCTACTTCACAAGCCAAAATGCCAGCTAGAATTGGACTGTTTGGAACTGCATTAATAGTCACCAACATGCTCTTTCTCCGGTTAACATGAAGGCCTGAGATACCTTCAAAGACTGTGAGAACCAGCCTCAAATGCATTAGCTGGGCAGGTTCAGCATCACAAAGAACCAGAGCATCTTCTGCATACAATAGATGCGAAATCTCCATGCTATTAATTCTGTTCTGTACTTCAAATCCCTTCAAGCAACCACTGATAGTAGAGGCTCTCATCATGCTACTCAACCCTTCCATGGCTAAAATAAAGAGGAAAGGAGATAGAGGGTCTCCTTGCCTACCCCTCATTGAAGAGAAGAAGCCTTCAGGAGATCCATTAATCAAGACAGAAAACTTCACTGTACTGATACAAAAAAAGATCCATTTAAGCCATTTATTCCCAAAAACCATAACTTTCAGAATATTGATCAGGTACCTCCAATTAACATGATCAAATGCCTTTTCGATAACTAGTTTGCATAGGATCCCTGGTTTCTTCTCCTTCTGTCTACTATCAACACATTCATTAGCTATGAGGGTAGCATCCATGATCTGTCTTCCCTTGTTAAAAGTCATCTGATGCTTGTTCACCATTTTATCTACCACCTTCTTAAGTCTTTCTGCTAGAGTCTTGGAAATAATCTTGTAGATGCCCCCAATCAGACTGATTGGTTTGAAGTCTCTTAATTCCTTGGCTCCACTCTTCTTGGGTATAAGCGCCACGTATGTGGCATTTAAACTCTTCTCAAAAATTCCAAGAGAGTGAAAATTGGCTATAGTTTGTAGGATGTCGACCTTCAAAAATTCCCAGCATGTAATGAAAAACCCCATCGAAAAACCATCAGGACCTGGCGCTTGGTCTATGGCACATAGCTTTAAACTATGGAGAATTTCTTGTTCCTCAAAAGGCCTCTCCAACCAACTTTGCTCCTCATCTGTAATTGAAGCTAAATTCCGAGGAGTAAAATTAGGCCTCCAAGCTTCTGCCTCAGAGTATAGCTGTTTATAAAAGGAGATGAGTTCTCCTTTAATTTCTACTGGATCACAGACTTCAATCCCATTAATCTCCAACTTGTCTATGGTGTTGAATCTCCTATGTGCATTGGCCATCTTGTGAAAGAATTTTGTGTTCTTATCACCCTGCTTTAACCATAGAACTCTAGATTTTTGCCTCCAGGAGGATTCTTCATATTTGGATATTTCCTTGAAATCCAAAGCAATGTTGGCTTTTTGTATCAGTTCATCATCAGTGAGGTTTCTTTGTTCCTGCAAAACATCAAGAATGGTTAGTTGGTTCAAAAGCTCTGTCTTCCTCTTTGCTAGATCCCCCAAAGTTAGCAGCATTCCACTCCTTTAGTTTACTTTTCAGGAGTTTCAGCTTTGTTGCTTAAATAAAGTCTGGGTCTCCTTGTACCGCAAAAGATAACCACCAAGTTTTAACCATTTCTTTGAAGCCGTCAACCTCCAACCACCAATTTGCAAATTTAAAGTATGAAGGTTTCCTTTGTTCCCAATCACCACAAGTTAGCTTAATAGGACAATGATCAGAAGTGATTCTTGGCAGAGTAGACTGTCTAATATTCCTAAAGTGTTTATCCCATTTAATGGAAAAAAGAAATCTGTCAATTCTCGAAGCAATCCCCTGATTGTTCCCTTTGTTCCAAGTGAAGGAACCCCCAAAAAGTGGTGGATCTACTAACTGTAGATCATTGATTGCGTCAGAGAAATCTCTCATAGCTTTGGTGAGACGGTGATTGTTGCTTCTTTCATTTGAGTGTCTGGTTGTGTTGAAGTCCCCACAGACCACCCATGGCCCATTACAAAGTCCTCTTGAGGCTGCCAACTCCCACCATAAGTCTTGCCTCTCAATTCTAGAATTTGAGGCATATACCCCTGTGATGAACCATTAGAAATTGTGGTCTATTGTAGTCAATCTACAAGAGATACTCTGACTTCCAGAAATAATCAACTCCCCTTCTAATACCCTTTTATCCCACATGATAAGAATTCCCCCACTAGTACCAATGGCTTCAAGATTGAC